CTGTATCTAACCGGATTAGACTCAATCGAGAAAGTGGGGAGTGCCCATTTAGGATCTTGAAAAATAGTAGAAGGCGAAAATATTTTCTTCGTACCTCTAATAGAGGTAACCTGAGACCGGATACAAGATCTTTCCCCGATATATCAAAATCCCGTGTAATCATGTGTGCCGCAAGATTTTGTACAGATTCAAGTGAATTCTGTAATGTCTCGAACTTGCTGTCATACAATGCACAGACATAATCGAGCTTGCTCAAAACACATGTCTTGAAAATATGAAGCCATACTGCAACAGGAGCTTCTTTAAATTGGCGGTAAATAGCACCTAGACGTTGCCTGCAGGTTTTAATCAGGTCGTCTATATGTGCTCGCTACCTAAGGTTATAGTTGATTTTTAAACCTAGAAGGACTAGACTTTGGCTGCGCTGAATGAGGGAGCCATCGCGTAATTTAAACTGAAAAGTATCAGCTGTATTTGAGCTGTTAGAACCAGACATCCATGCACACTTGGTAGGATTAAGCGCCGTGAGGTTTGAATTACACCAATCACATATTTGCGCACGTGGTATTGAATGTATTGCACGAGTTGTACCAAGATCAGCTGGGTAAAATGGGCCGTGTGGATATCGGGGCAATATAAAACCATGATCTTTTCGAATTGATAGATACACTTTTGCACCATATTTTGCTACTGCTAATGTTATGTCAGAGCCACCTTCACCACTCTCAACAATACACAGTCTTTTATCGGTAAAATCTTCAAATTTTGTAACATCTTGTAAATGTTTTATGGTTCCTTTATATAAATGTTGCCCATTAAAACTTGGCATACTTCGTTTTTGATGTGTACCGGAACATATTATTTCGTACATATTATATATACGATCAAATGTATAGACCGTTTCCTTTTCATCTACAACTGATTTTGCTTTTATATTCCATTTATTAGTCGGTACATTTTTCCATACCGATTGGACGCAAGTTTGAAATTTAATATACGGTTTTAACTCAAAATGTTCAGCATAATCATTTAAATATTTTGAATATTCAATAAAACTCCACATTCGAGGCTTTTCTAATAGATCATTTTTATCCTGTTCAAGACCAAAAAAATCACTGAACATTGTCACCACATTTGAACTGACCATGTAACCTTGTTGATAAGCAGTTTGGAATGACCACCAATAACATCGGATTTTTCAAACACTATACCGTCATGTCCTTCGGCTAATAGTTCTTTTAATGTAACTAAACCGCTTGTATCACAGCCAATTATTCCAACTTGTAATGGTTTAAAGTCGATGTCTTGTCTTTATTGAGTAATAATGATTCTACATAAATTGCGGACTTCGCAAAAAATCACAAATGCACGTACTTTAGCATGCCAAAATCGAAAAATGAGAAAATGCCCTGTTTGATGTGGACAATTTTTTACGTTCTTTATTTTACGCTTTACGTTTTTCATTTTCTATACTTTATTTACATAATATCTAGTCTTTCCTAGGGTGGGTGTACATAGGTATAAGTACATTAGAAGATAAAGTAAAACGAGCAAGTTTATACATGAATTTAAAACAAATAAAAACAAGTAATTGGATGAATACATATGGTACAAAAAATACGATTTTTGTCGAAGCAATGGTAGAATATAAATGTGAACGAAAACCGGCAATAAAAGAATTAACTGAACATAAAGTTACTTTTGATGACGGAACAGAAGAAGAAATTGATGAAATTGTGTGTACTGGTTTTATAAGTGAATTTCCATTTCTGGAAATAGGTGATAAACAAGCAGATCCAATGCATGCTGAGTTAGTACGTAAAGTGGCATATGACGCACGTATATCACATGATCTATACAAACATTGTGTATCAGAGGTAGGCGAGCCATGCCTTCCCCGAACTCGCGTTCGCGCACAGCTAGCCATGTAGCAACTCGTAGTTCGGCTCGACTCGCCGATAATATTATAAAATGAGATCGCACTCGATCAAGCTCGTGTAGCCTCGGCTCGGCTCACGTGTGATTGAGAGTACAGGGTGGGTGAAAGATGAGCGCGAAGAAAATCGAGCACGGATAGTTGAGTACGGAAAGATGAGATCGGCACAGTTGAGCACTAGGAAACATGAACACAAATTTATAATTTATCCATTAGTTTTTGTATCATAAACAGTTGAACGATTTAAGAAAAAGTTAATTTAATCAATTTATTTAATATACTATTATATAAAATATTAAATACACATACACATCCTATACGACGACGCCATGCTTCTACAGAATTATTTGTACGTCTCGATGATTGTGTTGTCCTTGTATGCATATTCGAAAAATTCAACACTAAATGTTCGAACTAAAATTCATAATTTTTTCTCTCCTCTTTTCAAATGGCCAAGATTCAAGCTCAGTGAGCGTAAATATGATTGTTTACTAAATTAAATGAGAGTTAATTTTTCTCCATTGAATTTCGATCTGTTTCAGAAAAAATTGAGTTCTAGTGGGCTCTGTGCTTGTGGGAAAGTAGAAACCGTCAAGCATTTTCTGTTGGAGTGCCCACGTTACCAGCCTCAACGTGATATACTTTTCTCTGACTGGTCATCACCTTCTCTCTCCTTTACACTTGCAAACTTACTTTTTTTAGAGCAATTTTATACCCTAGATTATTCACAAATTTCACAACTTCATTTATTTGTTACTAACTACATTAAAAACACCAACCGTTTTTAAACTAAAATTTCTATCCCCTTTCTTTCGTTTTATCCGGCTCCTTTTTCTTCTTGTTCTTTTATTTTACATCGTGGTTATTTATGTATTTCTCCTTTTTCTCTGTGTGTGTGTGTGTTTTCTGTTTGTGAATGTTCTTTTATGTTATTCTCTGACTACATGCGTTAGGTGTGTCTGTCTTACTTATTATTATACTAGCAATTTTCGCTTATTGAATAGTCAAAATGATATCATGGGTCTATTCCTCTTTCGTTTTGCTGTTCTATATATTTATTCAATGGAAATTCCTTTCTTTTTCTTCTTTTTACAAATAAAGCTTAGATCAACACTAAATGTTGGTTGACGTCGTGTATTGTTAGGACGAAGTCGTCCTATATATGTATCTTCAAAATAATTTAAAATATCTTGGTAATCATCATCAAGATCTAATGAAGGATGCAAATATGCATGTAATACATCAGAAGGTGGAATAAAAGCTAACGCAGCTATTTTATTAATATTATGAGCAAATTTAATATCGTTTTGATAGCGATTCTGATCAGCTAATATCTAATATACAAAAATAAAAGTTATACATTGAAGATTGGACATAGTATATTCCAACTTATATTAGACTAAATTATTACAATGTTGCCTGAACCTGTCGATGGAGATTTTGACGAAAATGGAAATAACAGCCAGATAACGATACATTAACAAAACTGTCAAATACATTGATACAAGCTTTTTCAGAATCAAGTAAAATAGAACCACGAAACTAGCATGGAGAAAATTCTACTATTTCATTAATAAGACGTTGATATGTATCACTATTCTTACGACTAAATAATGAATAGACAACTGGTACAACATGTGCACGATAGATAGCATGTACAACAAATAGTTGATAAAAAATCTCAGGAACAGCCTAAACATAGGAATATTTACTTTTACTTCAATTAACTGGAATTTCCGGCGAAAACCAAGAAATAACTACTTCCATACATACTTTAAATGTACCATGAAAATTATCACATGATTCTAAAATATCTAATTGTTCAGAACTAGCATATTAACATTCCATCTGGTCCTGTTGAAAAGAAAAATTAATTATTAAGACAGTAATTCAGTTAATGAAACGAAAAAGTCTTAGACATATTTTTATGGGGGCATTACCTGGTTCAGTATCACAACGGAAAAAATTATCACCACGAGATGCTACAGTTAAAGTTGTTGGAACATTTGACAAATTAGGATCATTTGGGGCTGATGGAAGCTTTTTATCTTGACGTGAAATTCTAATACGACGTTTAATATTATCACCCGACGGTAAGCGAGCTAACGCTTCGTTCGACATTCTGATACAACAATGCGTTATAATTAAATCATGTTTCTTGTGCATTTACTGTACGATATCAAAGATCTTCATTAAATTTTCGAATTCACCTGTAATACCATTAATTTTTTTCAGAATTATAATACATACAACGCCAAGATGTTTTATTTTCAGTAAATCGATCTTTTATATATGAAAAACCTTGGAATTCAAGACCAGGTTTTTGTTTAGTAGTTCATGATACTGGTATAGATGTTGTTGCGGACATATTTTTTTGCAAAAAACAATGAGAAAATGAGTTGAGAAGCAAAAGTGAATTGAGAATAAATTATGAATATATAGTAGTATATTGCATTTACATCAATTATTTTAATTAATACTATATATTAAATTGTCAGCAACTTTGTTTTAAATTTTTGCAACTGTTTGTTTTTAACAAATTATTAAAATTTTTGTATTAATGACTTTTCAACAACTGTATATTAAATAAATTGATTAAATTAACTTTCTCTTAAATCTTTCAAATGTTTATGGTACAAAAATTTGATGATAAAATAAATTTCTGCTCATGTTTCCTAGTGCGCAAGTTTCTCATGCTCAACTATCCCTGCTCGAGTTTCTTCGTGCTCATCTTTCGAGTTCTCTATATGCTCTGTAAAATGCCTGATGTGAAAATTCTACATTCAATTGAAAAATTTTATGGCCTGGTTTTCTACAAACCTTACTTGGTTTTTCAGGAGGTTTTAAAAGATCCCATCATAGCTCATGTCCAACAATATCGTAGGGAGTGAGAGTTTTGCTCTGTTTTTCGAGAGAAAATCTTTCTCCAAAATGACTGGATCGATGATTTGGGCTCTCACAGCATTCTCTGCTTTAAACGAACAAAAGCATTTCTGGAGCTTGCGGTTGTGTGAATTTGTAATAGACACTATCTAGTAGTTATGATAGAATTCTTAAGTCCAAGTAATGTGTCGTTACGGAATCGTAGGTAGTTTACATTGACAGTTTCCTTGGTTGCCGAAATTTGTGTGTTTTTGGGCTCTTTGCAAAAATTGAATATCTCAGCAACGCAACAACTTTATGTTTTCGCCGAAATTCATGAAGCTGTTTGCTCTAAAGACGCCCTTACTATGGAAGACATCTGAGATGGTCGATTGAGCACGTTAGGTCGTGGCTTATCTGTAATGGCTCATAAGCATTTGAGAAAAACGCAAGAAACAATCAATAATTCAAATGGAGTCAACGTCATTATCTTTTCTTGTCGACGACGATGTAGCGTCCTCTTCCTGAATGGCTGCTATGAAATATATTAGTGATACAATAACTGAGAATTTGAAAAAAACTATTTGATATTAACTTAGTTGGTTTTTGACAAAAAGTGTTCATGTAGTGTTCATACAAGTATGGCTAAATTTTGGTTCACCTTGTTGCCAAATGTTGGAGAACACGTCCGATTAAGCTCCAGTTTATAGCAGAGATAGAACACAGAAAAAGCACATTGAAGTATTTCTGCCCAGAAATTTCTGAGATGTTCTTATATAGATTTTCTGAAAAACTCCAGTTTCCAGCGGGCCACATTACGTCCCCGCGAAAAAATGGTCTGATCCAGCTCAAACTTTTACCAGAGATGCTTTAGACCGTATCTCACGATGGAAATTTTCATATCAGCCATTTTATAGAGCATATCAATTTACACACGTCAAGCTATGCTTATAACTAGTCGATTAGTTTTAAGTACGTTTAAAATTTTTCAAACACTAAAGTATTACCATCAAGGGGAAAAAAGCGGACTCCTATGGACTTCTACGGACGCCTGAAGTCCAGGAGTCCAAGAGCTGCTGTAAAGCTCAACGTCAACCACATCCCAATTAACATCCAGTTCGTATATAAAGCGCCGATCAACGACACATCTCATATTTCTCAAGTCAACGCGAATGCACGCTTTGTTATACATAAAGTGCTCCAAATTCGAAAGATAAGCAAAACAATAGATTCCCACCAAACATATATGGTTGGATAGAGCTCATCGAGTTGATTCCGAATATCACCTTTTTATCGAGTTTTGATCACGTTTTGGAGGAGAAATCCTCAAAATACTACGAAAGTCAGAAAAAGTGGAAAAGTGAGCGTTATAGAGAGTTTTCCGTTCACTCTAGTTTTTGAAACTATTTTATTCAAGTTCAGCATCAAAAAGTGAGTATATCGATGTAGGTTTGTCACTAGTTCATCGTTCGGACGTCTGCGAGCAGGACGGACTAAGTTCGCCTTCGGACGCTGTCACACCTTCTTCCCCCCAACCTATGTAGTCTTTTGTTTCAAAAGCTATCCTCAACTATCATACATCATTCGAATCACCATTCGACAGTGAACAAAATGACGTATGGATTTAAGAAACTTTCATTTCCCCACTGAGAAAAGTCACCATTAGCGTAGCAAAGTAGGAATTATGCCCGCAGTTCTCAATTTTCCCAACAAAACTCAACTTCTATGTAATAAAAATATTATATTTGGAATCAGGATCAAAAGATGAATCGAGTGATATGCATCTCTATCCTATCCGGGTACTTTAATTACTTTTGAATTTTCACGTTGAAAAATCACGCGATTTTCACCAAA